ATTTGTTTATGTTTTCTAGATCTGTTAGAAACATACAAATACTTGTTCCACGTTTGTGTCCTTTATTGGAAAAAGCCTTTTTTGTACGAATTGCTAGAATTTTTAACACCTTACCGCCTTCTCTTAAAACTTTTAACTCTTCCTTAAAATGTTATCGAACTCATTTATACGATTACTTCAACCTCAATTCATCTTAAATTCATGGGTTTTGCTTATTTGTTTGTGTTTTTATTGCATAACTGATTTCAACATTTAAATAAATATAACTATAATAAATTATATATTTTTTTATTGATAATTGTGATATAATAATAAGATATTTGAACCTGTAAATTGAATTTAGTGGTTGAGAGTAGATATAATATTGAAGTCCTTTGCCCTATGTGATAGGTCGCTACATCAAATAATGGAATAATAATAATAATAAAAATGTTTTTGAAGTACAATGGTTCTGAACCCCTCCAACTGAATAGACGTTAAGTTATCATTAAGCTAATACACTGTTAGTTTTAAGTTTTTGGAGTAGTTTATTTTTTTTGTTTTTTGAATCGCTTTTGGCCCTTTGGGCTAGATTCTCGTTTATGAAATAAATTGAAATTAAATTAAATTAAATTAAAATATTACAGTATTCACGTGGTAATTAAAAACATAACACAACAATAAAAATAAAAATACTTCATAAACACTAATTTTGGCTGTGCATAAAAATAGAGTCATGTAACTTTTTTGGAAAATTCCTGTACTAATAGAATCAAATTAATTTAATTCTCACTTATTGTTGATTAGTACTTAGTAGCATGACCATTATTTTTTATTACTGCTAAGCATCGTCTTGGCATAGAGTCCACAAGTGCCTGGCAAGTCTTTATTGGAATATTCTCCCACGCAGCTTTAATCAATGTCCACAGCTCATCTTTATTAGAAGGATTCTTTCCTTTAAGAGCCATTTTCACTTCTCTCCACAAGTTTTCAATGGGATTTAAGTCTGACGACTGAGCAGGCCAGTTTAAAACCTCGACTCCATTGTTTTCAAACCAAGCTTTTGCTCGCTTATACGTGTGTTTCGGGTCGTTGTCTTGTTGAAACACCCATCTAAGCGGCATATTCCATTCAGCATAAGGCATCATAGTGTCATTTAAAATTTCTGTGTACAAATTGGCGTCCATAACACTCTCAATCCTATATATAGGCCCAGTACCATAGTAGGAAAAACAGCCCCAAACCATTACATTTCCTCACCAGGTTTAACGGTTTTAATGGTATATTTAGGATGAAATTCGGTATTAGGAGGTCTTCGGACAACAGGTACGACTCGGTCAGAGCTAAACAAATTTTTCGCCTGCCAATTCACATGCTTCCTTGCGAACTCCATTTTTTTCCTATATTTCGTTTTGAGAGGAACGGAACTTTCCGGCCACTTTTAGCCTTTAAATCGTTTTGAATTAACATTCTTCTTATTGTAGATGTATCAACATTCAAATCATACTATTTTTTCAATGCTGAAGATGTAACAAAATGGTCCTTTTTTCTTTTCGTTTGCTCTGAAATTTTTAATTTCATTCCCCTTTTTTCTGGTTTTGGCTTATACTTTACTGCATTTTCGCTGCATTTCGCTGTAGCTTTTACCTTCATTACGTATTTTTTTTATTGCCTCCCGGCGCTCGTCAGTGCAATGCTTTCCTCGTCCCATGTTTGGACCTAATTGATTATTTTTACACAGAATTAGAGAAAGACAAACTTACCCTTTAAAACATATTTTATCACGAATTCACTGTTTTAATTTTAAATTTTTAGTTTTTTCCTCAGTTGACTCTATTTTATTGCACACTATTTTCTATAGGCACCAACATACAATCACTACGCTAGGCGAAAGCGTCGCTTTGCTTATAACAAAAATAACGGGATTTTATTTGTGAGGGATCACATCAATAAAATATGACAGTTGTCAGCCACAAATTTTTTTGCATACTTGATTAAAAGCCGTTAGAAGTTTAGAAGAGTGGATGACTCTATTTCATTTCACACCACTGTACGTCGGAAATGTATATAATTTACGTCACTGTTTCTGACAGGCCATCTCTGGTCTACAACTTTAGTAGTGTTGGCGGTTTATTTGGGATACCATTTTTATTTTGTTTTTGCAAAATTTAAATATTTTTGCAATTTCGCTGTAGCTTTTACCTTCATTACGTATTTTTTTTATTGCCTCCCGGCCCCCGTCAGTGCAATGCTTTCCTCGTCCCATGTTTGGACCTAATTGATTATTTTTACACAGAATTAGAGGAAGACAAACTCACCCTTTAAAACATATTTTATCACGAATTCACTGTTTTAATTTTAAATTTTTAGTTTTTTCCTCAGTTGACTCTATTTTATTGCACCATACAATCACTAACATACATCACACCAACATACAATCACTACGCTAGGCGAAAGCGTCGCTTTGATTATAACAAAAATAACGGGATTTTATTTGTGAGGGATCACATCAATAAAATATGACAGTTGTCAGCCACAATTTTTTTTGCATACTTGATTAAAAGCCGTTAGAAGTTTAGAAGAGTGGATGACTCTATTTCATTTCACACCACTGTACGTCGGAAATGTATGTAATTTACGTCACTGTTTCTGACAGGCCATCTCTGGTCTACAACTTTAGTAGTGTTGGCGGTTTATTTGGGATACCATTTTTATTTTGTTTTTGCAAAATAGTCAGGCTGAATCCCAGTTTGTTGTTTTATAAAAAACAACTATTTATTAGTGGGGAATGTATGGCATTGTTTGCCGAGGGGTAAGGCAGGGAAGACTATAGTTTCGGATTCAGCCTGAGTATTTTGCAAAAACAAAATAAAAATGGTATTCCAAATACACCACCAATGCAGGCACGGTTAAACTGTTTGGTTTGTTGCTGTATACTAGCAACACCAACTAAGTCGTTGTGTGCATTTGTCGCGATGTGACAACACACAACAGTGGGAAAGGTGTGGTATAGTTTGTAAATGCCTTGTTAACCTCGAAGTGAGGCTCCAGCGAAATTCTCATGCAGTTTATGTCGTTGGTAAGCTAAGTACTTCGCTTTGTTACAAGAGACATTTGGGTATGAAAGGTTTTTTGTATAGAAGCAATAGCTTCTGGGGAGAATATCCCAACAAAAAACTAAGGGAACTGATGAGGACCAGTGGCGTGATCCGAAACTATAGTCTTCCCTGCCTTACCCCTCGGCAAACAATGCCATACATTCCCCACTAATAAATAGTTGTTTTTTATAAAAACAACAAACTGGGATTCAGCCTGACTATTTTGCAAAAACAAATTCTTCTACATTATTGTAAGACTTCCACAATTTTACCTGATACCACGGTGTGGTACATTGGATCTATTTCTGAATTGATTTCGAATTATAAATTGGTTTTATTCAACTATATAGTAGTGACAGTTCAGCACGGAGGAAGGCTGCAAAAGAACATCAGTTGGGAAACTATCAAGAAAGTTCTTTTATTTCTGAAAAGAATCAGAAAACCAGATTGACTTTCGTAGGTTAGGTTAGGGAGAGACTATGTCCATTGTGATCATCCTTTTATATATACCTGTAAAGAAAAGAAAAGAGAGAGTGGAAGAGTATAGAGAAAAGATAGTGAGAGAAGAAGAGCGGAAGAGAGGTTATTTTAGCCAAGTCAAATTTTTGACAAAGCCTAGGATCTGGTTTGGGTCTATTTTGGAGAAGAAGACTATTGTGTGTCAGCAGCGAAGACGTTCCTTTACGAGAGAATTCAGGCCAGACAGATTTTGAGATTCTGCAAGCAGTTTCCCTTAGCCATCTGTTACCAACTACCTCGCAGTGGAACGCACGGATTCTGCCAATGAAATAGCCGATGGGAGGTTTCACAGATCTCTCAATCAGAAGATTGGACGACTGTGAGCCCCCTCGAGCAAGCTCGTCAGTTATCTCATTCCCTTCAATGTCAATATGTCCTGGAACCCAACATAAACCAACTCTCTGTCGTATATCATTCAAAGTGGACTTACAATCATGAACTGCTTTCGAGTTTATAGTATGCGACTTCACCGCTTTCAGGACTATCGACATATATAGTCGCCGGTCCCATAACGTCGGCATTAAGGGGTGTCAAAATTGTTTTTGATTTAATTCGGATCTACTCTAATTGTAGAATGTCCTTACAAAATTCAAGTGAAAATCTCAAGAAATCTTAAAGATATAGTCGACTTAATGTGCCAGCTTCAAGTGACGGCAAGAGTGATTCTCAAACTTTACGATTGGCGGGCACTATAACTCAAAAACTAATATTCCAGTCGGTTCCAAATTTTGACACGTTTTTCTGGGAGTGTATAGCTCTTGTATGAACTAGGATAAAGCCAATCGGTGAAGATCTTCCTTATTTTTTAACATAGTATTTTGGTCAAAAATAGGCGATTTTCCAAAAAATCAAAGTTCCGACATTTTGTTATTTATTGCGCGAAGTCAATAATCCTAGTTCATACGAATTTGGAATTTTCGGATTCCGATATTCCAGTGAGGAGTTATCGTGCCCGCCATAAAAATAAGGACTTTCCTTTGATCACAAAAAAGAACAACACAACAACAACACAAATTTTGTAAATTATTTTTCTTCCTTTTTAAATCTTCAAATATATATGTGCAAAGTTACAAACCGTAACAAGCATTGGTATTCATTAACAGCCAATTTAAAATCCTAAAAGTAAAAAATCGAGAGGGGGGGGGGGTTCCCTTAATTGATTTTACTATCTCGGCCGCTTTCGCGATCGCAAGAATCTCTGTTTGAAAAAGCTACAGTTATTGTTGAGTTTATATGAGTTGTATATTCCTAATTCCCTACAGTAAACGCCTGCGCCAGTGCCTTCCACCATCTTAGATCCGTTTGTAAAGGTCATAACCTGGCGTTATGGTCTCCAAGGTCTCCTTTATTATTAAAATTTAGTATCTTGGTAATATTATAATGGAAACATTTTTTTAATTCCAGAAATTTTGTGAGGTCAATACGAACTAAGGCCAGTCATATGGCAAAAGGTCTCGTCAATCACATTAGTTCGAACAGCGTTGAAAAAAAAATTAATAAATTTGGAGAGATTTCGTAAGTAGTCTGATATATACATATACACATGCGCATATATTTATTTTAAATATTTGTTTCAGGCTTGATATCATTCTCAGTACCCCCGTATTAGTTTTGCCCAGATCGTGTAAGAGTCACGAAGTTTTAGTGGCGAATTTAGGCAGATTTACCGTGTGTAATAAACAAGAAAATTTAGCACAACATTTATGTACCTCATCTACACCAGAACACAGCGAAAAGATTACTTATTTCATTGACGTCAGAAATATCAATTTATTTTCTTTAAACACTCAGAAAAGGAAGAACGTAGGAGCAAACACCTTACCAAAGGCAAATGAAATATATTCTTGTCACGAAGATGCCGTACCAATCCTACATGATACAGCTTTACTTTTCCAATGTGTGTATGAATCAAAACTTTCTTTACCACGAAATTGTATGGAAAATTCACTATTGGTAAGTTTTATAATAACTAGTACATTTATCTTATTTTCAGGATAATGAACCGACAGTATTGAAAAACATTAAACTACTTTCAACTTGACATGCAATTTTGACAATTGACATAAATATATGTTTGAACAAGGTCTATATAACAGGTCATCCAATAAGGACAGCTGATATCTACATATTTTGTCAAACTGTGTTGTTTTTTTATTTTTTTACGAACGTTCCCATGCCTTTCCCACCCCTGCCGACTGAGAGGGCGACCTCCCCTTTCGTACGGATCGCGCACACAACATAATCCGCGTTATGATGGAATATGAGAAGGGATAGAAAACCAGCTACAGAAATCTACTTCAACAGCCAGTTTGTTATTAAGTTGTATTATTCATTTTAAAATACAATTATAACAGATTTTTTTAGTTCTATATTCATGCAAAAATCTACGTTAGAATACACAGAATTCAAATCAATACACAGTCCCTACCGACTGAGGGGGCGACCTCCCCTTTCGTAGGGATCGCGTACACAACATAATCCGCGTTATGATGGAATATGAGAAGGGATAGAAAAATTCAACAGCCAGTTTGTTATTATGTTGCATTATTCATTTAAAAATACAATTATATCAGATTTTATTAGTTCTATATTCATGCAAAAATCTACGTTAGCATACACAGAATTGAAATCAATACACATTTTACTAAGTGTATCTCCCATAGAATAATTTGTGCGATGAAAATTTACGTATAATAGTTGATAGTATGTACTGGATCGAAAAGGAACATTTATTCTAATGGATGATATTTGACCTGCTAGTGTAAGAAGGCAACACAAAATCACTATTTCAATGTAAACCTCACAGTGCAACAAGTAGAAATTGTTTCTGCACTGATTCAATTGTATCGAAATATACAGTATATTGGGGATCCCATACAACAGAGTCATATTATAATATAGGTCGCACAAGAGATGTAAAAAGTTGATTTTTAATGTAGGGATCAGAGAATTCTTTAGCCCGTCGTTTTATAAATATACCATTGGAATTACATGATTATTAAAATTTAATTTTGGATCCTTTAAAATACCAAGATCATCAAAAGAATCTGCAGTTGACAAAACAGTACCATTAATATTGTATTGCCTTGTTTGTTTAGGTTTAAATCCATACAGTTTAATTTGCACCATTGAAAAAGGATATTTAAATCATTTTGAAGTAAATCAGCTTGCTTCTTAGAATTATGGGTGATAAACAACTTGACATCGATTATTGCATTTGGAACATCATTTATAAATAGAAGAAAGAGGAGTGGGCCTAATTGACTTCCTTGAAGAATACCGGAAGGAACATAAATCGATTTGGAGAGACAATCATTTCGCAAATAAGATGATACTCATTTAACTAAATTTATACTGAAACCAATTTGATTTAATTTATATATTAAAAGATCATGGTTAACCCTGTCAAAAGCTTTACTGAAGTCAGTGTAAATTGTATAGGTTTGATTACGCTGAATAAAACAGTTGATGCAAATTGTAATATAGTTGATCTATAATCGATAATTTAAAAACTATATGTGTCTTTATTTGGACAGGGTGAATATGAATAAGTTGTAGCGAAAAAATTTGCAATGCAATCTGCAATTTCAGAGTTTTTCTCAAGTGTCTGATTATTGCATTTCAAAATTGTGGACTTTGGCATTGCTTTTCTTTTTATATTAACAAAGTCATAAAAAGATTTAGGATTGGAATTAAAATTAAAAGACTGTAAAGTTTTCGGGACTCTGTCGTATATTTAAACCTTGCAACAGCATATTTAGCATTAGCTATAGAGGAGCCAAATGTGACTCATGGATATCTTTCTGAGTGTCTAACTCTAACAGTGGGAACACATTCTAAAATAAATTTTTTTAGGATGTCATAAAATTTATATACTGTTAATTCTAGATTACTATGGATCTCACAAATAAATAATGAGGTCCAATTTACGGTGGAGAAAAGTGCGTTCAGCTTTCGGAAGTCCGTTTTATTATAATTAGGAGCATATTTAAATGACATTGAAGAATTTTTGATAGCTAAATTATTATTCATTATGGATATGCATAGCTGATATGCATGGTAGTTATCTTCGGGAGTGCATACTGGAGGTATTCTAATTATTTCAAAATATTGTATATAATTCACAAATGCTAGATTTAGATTTTGATCATAACAATTTGATATGCTATTTATTTGATAAAGATTTATGTCGCTAAATCGATTTACAATTTCAAAAGTATATAGGTTTACATTTGCATCAGATGTCAAGGGTGTTAGAGCATCGGAATCTGGCAATGAAAGCCAATTTACGGACAGCAGATTAAAATCGCCGAGAACATTCTTTCATTTTGTTAGTGATTGAATTTATTGCTAATACAGGCTGATTATAAATATCAAGTTGCGATGATGGAGGAATATATGAACAAGTCACAAATAATTTAAAATTTTCTAATTCAATGGATATGCAAATAAATTCAGAATATTTGGCATCGACTGCTATAAGGACGCCACCGCCTTTTTTAACAACTCTATCTTTTCAAAATATTTGGATTGACACGGATGCTTGTAACCAAGTTTCAGAAAATACTATAACAACATAATATAAACCAAGGCTATCTGTTAATAATAGAGTTAATTTTGTGTAACCCTCTTACATTGATAGCAAATATTGAGAAATATATATTTTTTTTTTTTTGCAATATTACAGCTTTCTGAGCTAAATTTTCAGATATTTTCAGAAATTGCTTAAACCTTAAAACCTGCTATTGCAGGCCAAAATTCTTGTACTACGATTTTAAAAGATGATCTACTTTCTGAGAAAGCAGACCGAAGCTTATAACAACGTAGAAAGAACAATAACAATTTATATCCTCAGCCGAGCTATCTGGTGCAAACCTAGATACAAATACCATTTTCATGGTGGGAGCCATAGATAATTGTCTTTGACCAGGTTGGAGCGAAGTGCTTGTGTCAGCTACGGAAGATGCATTAGATGTTTGAACTGATGATTCCCGATTTTCGAGAGTAGGTCTTGAAGTCTTTTCCAGACTAGCACTACTAATACTCACAGATTTTGGATTAATCACTTCATTTACATCCTAATCTATTTCCGAGGCCGAATGTGACGCAACACTAGCATAAGTCTGATCACAAACAGTTTCCGTTGTATCTGTGATATTGACGGATGATTATTGTGGCACTGTATTCCTAAGAGAAACTGTGGGTTTTGCGACTTTATTGGGAGCCTTTTTCGCAGACCTTTTGCGTTTCTGTCCAGACACAGACGGTGACGATATAAATTCATCAAGCTCTTGGTACTTTTCGAACAAATTGGAAAAATTCTCGAAACGTTTTGATAACGATGTAAATTCCTTTTTCATCGAAGCAAGCACCGTCTGCAAAGTTATAAAAGTCGGCTGAGAGTTTTCGACAATGAACACAGTACCAACGGACACCTAATTGTGTCTACTATTTTGTATTAATTCGAGCACATTTAACGTGCAAACCAGCAAGTGACACATAACTCATCATCTACAGAAATATTACACAATTCGTTAGGGCAAACCATTTTTAAATGTTATTATTATTATTTGTTTTTTTAATTTGATTTATGAATTTTCTGGAATTTCTATTCCTTGAATTTCTTATGAAACACAAAATTTGGCAACTCTGTTTTGAGAAGTCAAAATAGCAAAACAAAATTAAAATAAATATGTTACAACAACTATTGGTCTGTTCCAGTACTTTTTTAATAGTAAAGCTAGTAAAAGGGAAACATTTCAAAATCGCTCTAAAAACAACTGTAAATAAGTGGGGTATGTATGGCATTGTCCGCCGAGGGGTAAGGCAGGGAAGATTATAGTTTCGGATCTCGCCAATGATCATCAGTTCCCTTAGTTTTTTGGGATATTATCCTAAGGGAACTGATGAGGATCATTGGCGAACAAGATTAATTAATATTAGCAAAATATGTTTATTTTCACAATTCTAATTGGAGCAAAATGACAAAAAATATTTCATAACACAGATTATATTGTTAGAAATTAAATATTTTTTTAAGCAAGCACAGAGCATAACAAAGTTAGTGAACATTCACGACAGGTTTGCGAAGCGGCTTTTGATTTGAATTTCAATAAAAAAAACGTAGTGTACACAACATACACAAAAATGTCGAAACGTATTTTCTATTCAAAAATAAATTTGTTAAAATATGAAATATATATCAATTGTTTACGAATATAGTGTGTGGTGACCAATTTGTGTTGTGCGCGCTTAAAAATGTGGAAAATAAACAATAATTTCCAAATAGGATTTTCGCTTCATATACAACTTTTGATAATAGATGTAGGTGCAGTGTTGTACTTTTGAACGAATTCGACTTTTGGATGACCTGATATTTGGGCCATGTATTTGAGGAAGGGTTTTGTTTCTGAAATGATGTATATATATATATACACCTAAGTCTGTTTTTACACGGTAGATTGGTTCCAGAAGAAGCCGTCTAAAAAAGACATTGGGTCTCATGCATAAAACGTGAGCTTGAGCTCGGACTCGATTTTTTGAGTAAAAGGTGCTTGTCGTATGCATAATAAAATTTGATGTATTTGCTTTTACTCACTGCTCACGTTTGATCTCTTCTTGCTCAGTTTGAACTTAGAAATTGATGTTGGATGAGATTGTTCTCATTTTCATATGCATAAAAACAAGCTTTTGCTTACTTTTGTGAGCTCTTGCTTAACTTTTGTTGAGCATGCCTCTTAGTTGACTCGCGTACACTAAAATGAATAATTATCAGTGATTGTGAACATAATTTATCACAGAAAATGATTTTGGAAAAATATTTCATGAATATTTTGTGTTGAAGCTTGACAATAACCCCCAGACATAAACCAAAACTTGTCAGCGATTGGTTGCGGGAGTCTCAAATCCGGATTTTATGATGGCCAACATAATCATCAGATCTTCACCCTATAGGTTCAGGATGTGAAGAATAGTGCATCAAAGGATCAAATTTTGGATCGTATATGTTCAATGTCTCGTGGGTGTAATCAAAAATAACGGGTTTGCTTCGATTACTAGCTAAATTTGCTTATTTATAAAAAAGAATAAAATCAAAATTGGGTCAATGTAGTTTTCCATAGAATTTATTTTTATTTCGAAATAAATGTCACGTTTTTATTCTTAAAAAAACTTTCTCTATAACTTTATTTTCAAAAAAAAAAGTTACGGGTCATTAATTCAGTTTGCAATTTCAGTTGCTTTAGTTTGGCCACCAGTGTATATATTTTATGGGGTCTTAGGTGAATATTTCGAGATGTTATAAACGGAATAAAAAATTGAGGAATATTAGCCAAGTATTTGCAAATATTCGGGTTTCAACAGACGGGTATGGATATAATTGATTTTGATCAGGAAAATACATATACTTTAGGAGGTCTTCGCCCGCCTTATGGTGTGGATTATAATAACATAAACCCTAATAATAATAATATAGTCCGTCATTTCTATTCCAAATGTTGCTTCATTTCTTTGACACTTGGTAACTGACTTTTTTCAAGTGAATATTTATTTTCTTTAATTTTTGTTGTACTAAAAATGCAGATATATCGTCAGTTTCTATTTTATTATTAGTATTTACTGCTACTTCTAATTCACTTCCACTATAACAATTAGAAGTTTGATCTCAATTTGCTCAAGTATTTGCAATTGGTTTGAACTCATTTTTATGCATACGAAATTGAGCAAAAGCAGTTCCTGTTCGATCTAACTCAACTTACGAGCAATTGCTAGCTTGACTCAACTCATCGCTTTTGCTCGTTTTTATGCATGAGGCCCATTGATCTTATACATAAAGGGAATTCCCCTAAATTAGTGCTATTCACATTTGCTTTGACCAGTAAAAATTGTTTGTACGTTCCAAAGGGGAATTCACTTAAATCTTTAAGCTAGTGTTTGTACGTTCCAAAGGGGAATTCACTTAAATCTTTAAGCTAGTGTTCGCAAACTATCGATACTATCGATGGTTTCAGACTTTTTTCTTTCATAAATACTTTTTTGTGATATGAACATACTTCGCAAAAATTAAATTTGACAAAAAATTTAAATACATAAAATTTCAAATCGTGCTAAATGGAATAAAATCGTCTAAAAAATTAAAAATATTCAATTTTTAAACCGTGCTATATCAAAACCGTGTACAAAAAGACCGTGTAAAAACAGACTTAGGTATATATATATATATAGTGGTGGTGGTCATGTAATTAAAACATTTACTGTGGTAAACATTTTTTGATCAGCCCTCGATTCGTTGGAAGTATTTTTATTTATTTTAATTTAGTTTAGTCCCCATTTGTTGAGTTTTTATTTCAAATGTTTATTTATTTTAAGAATTATTTATTGTTTTCCACTAATTTTAGTAATTTCTGGTACATTCGGACCATTATTTTCTATGTTATGGGTGATATTCTAAATGTTAGGTGTACTGTACAAATTGTTGCCAATTTTGATAGATTTTACAGATTTTTTGAAATTTTTTATATGTAAATAATTTTTCGGAGCTTAGTTTACCTTA